CTGGCTCAAGGACACAGAGAAAAGCCAGGACCTGGTGGCACAACTTAGATCTTCAAACTCAAATGGTACATGTTAAGCAAATTGTGGCTTTAGGTCAGTTTTGGCTGACCACAAGTTCCACACAGCTTTGCTTCAGGGCTCGTTTGCGTCTTCAGCCCTTGAACATCTTACCATAAAAAGGCTTCAGTGCTATCTGAAGTGTTATCAAACACCACATTACTGAGACAACAATCTCAGGGAGCCCAGCACAGAGCTTCGTTCCTCACAAGGGGAAGAACTGAGAAGGTCTATGGTTGCAGGGAAAAGCAAGCCAAGAAGGTCACTGCATGCTTGGGGGACAATGAGCAAATAAGTCATCGTCTGGGCAGCCGAAGTTTGTTGCTTAATGAACAATCACTGATCTAAATCCTCATCACACCACAGGCAACATGCATGATTACAGGGCATACATAAGAGGTTTTTCCTCTAAAGACATATACATTTCAATGGCTATGACACCCTAGAGAACTGCATTGGAAGAATGTTATTAAGACTGCAAAATGAAGCACTTAAACTAGGAAATATGGGGCCTAAGGTGCTCTTCGCAGCCCCAATCACACTGTGATGCAATCCTTATTCGCACAGTCAAGTATTATTTCTCCACTGGACTCCTGCGATACTCAGTAGACAGGAGGGCCACTGTTTTCTTCAGTGCTGTGATCTGTTTCCTTGCTCCATGTCACAGTTTCCTCACACTATTCCAGTCCTGCTCAGGGTAGAAGTAATAATTTTCTTACAGACTTTTCTGTGGTCCTCCCCACTCTTAACTTAGAGTGATTCACAGATGTTAATTATCTTATTTCCATAATGAAGCTGTGAAAGGAGGGTATATCATTAACGCCACATTATAGCTTGTGAGCTGAGGCACAAAGAGATGCAGGTCAAAAGTATCTACTAATTTTGCATCCCTAAGCTGAAATACTCAAGGCTTGCTTTCTCTTCACTTTTGGGGGCCTGACACTGCAAGCTCAGTAATGTTCTGTGCATAACTGCCTAGACTTTAATAAACAGCATACTGAAGAAGTAGTTCTCCACCAGTTCTCCACCAGTTGTCCTCAGGGCTGCAAGCTGTAGATCCGCCACCCAGACAATCCCTGTCTGCAGAGGCACAGAGCCAAGAACAGTGCTGGGTTATCACGTCCAACCTTTCTTGAAACTAAGAGAATAAAGGATACTTAGCTAGTGGGTTTTTACAGTTATTTCCTAATAGCAGATGAATAGTTCACTCTGTGCCACAAATATCTCCCAGTTTGTGGGAGAGCAGGAAAAAAGGTACTGTGATTGGAACAGACTCTTCCG